TTGGGAGAGGCCATGTCCCTCGGGTGAGATGGGCCTCTCTGCAGTGGGGTGGCCTTGCTGCTAGCCCACGCGCCACCTCATCGCCCGCCCCCACAGGAGAATGGCACGGTGAAGAAGGCCATTGCCCAGATGACCCAGAGCCTGCTGCTGTCCCTGGCTGCCCGGAGCCAGCTCCAGGAGTTGCGGGAGAAGCTCCGGCCACCAGCCGTGGACAAAGGGCCTGTCCTCAAGGCCAAGCCACCGGCCGCCCAGAAGGACATCCTGGGCGTGTGCTGTGACCCCCTGGTGTTGGCCCAGCAGCTGACTCACATTGAGCTGGTCAGTGCAGCCCTGTGCCAGGCCAGGGTGGGTGGGTTGTTTGCTGCTGCCTGTCAGGGCCTCAGGACCCTGGTGTCTGTCAGCGCAGGGCCACTGGCCCCCCAGTCTGACTAAGTCATCGGGCAGCCTGTTCCCCAGCCCCGACCCCCTGCCTCGGGCTCAGCCTGGGTCTGTGGACAGCGAGTGCCCCTGCGCACAATGGGTGGGGCTGGAGTAGCATCGGCCAGCCCTGGGGACTGGTCTGGGAGGAGGGGACACACCTGTGCCCTGGGCAGGCCTGTGCTGCCCCTGAGGCCGCGACCGCACTTGTCCAGGAGAGGCCCGTCACCGCCTCTGCTGTGTCCCCACCCCAGGACAGGGTCAGCAGCATCCGCCCCGAGGACCTGATGCAGATCATCAGTCACATGGACTCCCTGGACAACCACAGGGTGAGTGGGCCCAGCCCGAGGTGCCCTCAGGACCCCAGCCGGAGCCCGCGTCTGCACCCCGTGCAGGGCGGGCATGAGCCTCCCCAGCATACCCCGAGTACCCCCAGAATGTCAGATCACGTGATCCAATGGACATGACGCTGGCCCTCCTGGCAGCTGTTGCAGGGGTCAGCAGAGAACACCATGGGGACACATGTGGGAGAGGTGCAGGGCTTGGCCTGGGGCCCGCGGTGTCCCTTCAGGGTCCACCAGCCTCCCTGTGACCTGCTGTGTGCCCACAGTGCCGAGGGGACCTGACCAAGACCTACAGCCTGGAGGCCTACGACAACTGGTTCAACTGCCTGAGCATGCTGGTGGCCACCGAGGTGTGCCGGGTAAGCTCGGCCTGGGAAGATGGGCACAGCGGTGGCCACCCATCGACGTCACCGAGGGGGACTCCCGCCCCAGCTAAGTGAGGTGATGGCACGAAAGTAAAAGCAGGAAGTCCTGGCAGGGCTTTGGTCCCTCCCCTGCACTAGAATGATTTCTTACGCATGCGTGGAGAGCGCCCCCTGTGCCAGACACCGTGTGGCCTGTTTGAGGCTGTGTGGGTTCCCCAGTCCCTCGGGTCAGACGACTCTGTCCCTTTTACTACAGAAGAAACCAAGCACAGGTAGGGCATGCCAGTCTTCCGCCACAGCCAGACTGTCGGCAGCGATATCCCCAGACCCTCCCTGCCCGTGCCCATGGCGGCCCACGCTGAGGCTGTCCTGGCCTGCAGGTGGTGAAGAAGAAGCACCGGACCCGCATGCTGGAGTTCTTCATCGACGTGGCCCGGGAGTGCTTCAACATTGGGAACTTCAACTCCATGATGGCCATCATCTGTGAGTGGCCAGGCGCCAGGTGGGGCTGGTGTGGCTGCCCCCCACCCCCGGCCTTACCTCCCCTGTCACCCCCACAGCCGGCATGAACCTCAGCCCCGTGGCACGGCTGAAGAAAACGTGGTCCAAGGTCAAGACAGCCAAGTTCGACGTCCTGGAGGTAGGGCTGAACCCCTGCAGAGCCCGGCCAGCCCCTGGGTCTGGGCCATGGGCTCAGAGCTCACCTGTCCCCACCCCCATGTCTGCAGCACCACATGGACCCGTCCAGCAACTTCTGCAACTACCGCACGGCCCTGCAGGGGGCCACACAGAGGTCCCAGACGGCCAACAGCAGCCGCGAGAAGATCGTCATCCCTGTGTTCAACCTCTTCGTCAAGGACATCTACTTCCTGCACAAAATCCACACCAACCTCCTGCCCAACGGGCACGTGAATTTCAAGGTGAGCTCAGCCCCTGTGGCCCCAGCGGGACGGGCAGGCAGGGACCTTGTGTACCACCTTGGTGCCAGGCGATTTCCTGAGCCTACCTGAGATCCGGAAGGGCCTTTAGGACCAGAAGCGGAAGGGCGGGTCGGGGGTACCGGCTGACCACGAGGTTCAGAGTGTGGCCTCGGCCCTTTGAGTGCATGACTTGGTTACCGAGATCAGAGCCACACAAACCTGCTTTTGCCTGGGGCCCTGGTTCTGGCCTGATTCCACCGGGAAGACAGAGAAGGAGCCACCCCGGGGCTGGAGGGCCAGGGACGCTTTAGGCAAGAAGGGACTTGGACAGAGAACTCTGAGCAGGACAAGAGGGCCAGGCAAAGGTGACTGTGAGGTGCTGGGGGTACCAGGCTGTCTGATCCCCACCTCACACTGGTAAGGGTGGGCCCCAGACTCTCGCATGGGCCCAGAGAGTGAGGCTGGGGAGCGTTCGGGGTGCTGCTGCTAGAGCGTCTGCGGAAGCCGTGTTGTAAACGGGCCTCTCCTGGTGCGTGCAGAGGCACAGACCCTGCTACCAGCCTGATGGCCCGCGATGGGCTGGGTGGGGCAGAGGGCCTTGGGGACAGCTGCTGGCTCCGGTGCTACACAGTGCTACCACAGCCACGACAGCCGTGTAGGGCCTGGCTGTCTTGCTGAGACCACAGCCTACATCGCCTAGCCCTGACCGAGGTTTTTAAGCTTAGGGTGACAGATGGAGCTCCCTGTTCTTCTGCCCCTTCAGAAATTCTGGGAGATCTCCAGACAGATCCATGAGTTCATGACATGGACACAGGTCGAGTGTCCCTTCGAGAAGGACAAGAAGATCCAGAGTTACCTGCTCTCGGCGCCCATTTACAGCGAGGAAGGTGAGGCCTCCCCTCGGAAGCGTGCCACTGCCCCATGCCAGGTTCTTGTCCTGGCCCTTCCCCATGCCCTGTGCCCTCTGGGGGCTGTCCTGGGACGCACATGCCACCCAGGGGCCAGCTGGGCTCACAGGGCTCATGCGCAGGAGCAAGGGTCCTCAGCCAGGCAGTCCCAGGAGCCCCACGTAGCAGGGAGGCCGCTGTCCCCTTGGCCTGGGCCTGGCCGCGTCCTTGGACGGGACAGCGTGCGGTGGGCAGACAGCGTGTGGGGTGCAGGTTCTGAGGGCCTCTCCCGTCTCTCAGCGCTCTTCGTTGCCTCCTTTGAAAGTGAAGGTCCCGAGAACCACATGGAGAAGGACAGCTGGAAGACCCTCAGGTGCAAGCACTGCGGGGACCCCGTCTTGGAGGAGGTTGGGAGAGGGCTGGGGTGGCACCCTGGAGCTGCTCTTCTGAAAGGGGCCCGGGGCACCCTGCAAAGGCCGGGCGGGAGGGTGTCCCAGGCGCCAGGGCCTGGACGTTGGGAGGACCGGGTTTGGGTCCAGGTGCCCTCTCTGCTGGCTCAGGGGAAGCTGACCTGCTGTGTTCCCCGCCCACCTCTAGGACCACCCTCCTTAACCGAGCCTGATGACACGGATGGGCCCGCAGACGCTGGATGAAGCACACGCACAACTTGAGTTCTGACCTTGCTTGATATGGGTTGAGATGAGGAGGCCTCACTGGTTGGGGTCCATTTTGTATATAACTTTTATGACAAAAATGGTAATTAATTCATGCATCAACCTTTGGCACTTACAAAGCTTTTTTTGTTTATTTTAAATAACAGGGCGGGGCCCTGCTTTGGGGAGGGGTGGGGAAAAGCGTATCATGGGAGACGGCATCCATGATAACATCTTATTCTAACGAAATGTAGATCTTTATTTTCTACTTTTGATTATTAACATCTTATGAAAAAAATATTTAAAAAAAACCCAACCAAAACCAACGTGAGCCCTGCCTGCTCGGACGCCCTCCCAGCCAGTCTCTGATGTCGGGGTTAGTGCCTTAGAGGGTACTGGGGTCCGTCTTCCTGCTCCGTGTCCGGGCAGCAGCGAGCTTTGCGCTGGGCCGCGAGGGTCCTCGCGCGAGTCGATGCTGCGAGGTCCCAGCGCGAGGCCAGGTGCCGGGGTCTCATCTGCGCACTTCTGGAAGCGAACCCTTGAGTACGGGCTTTCCAAAGTTTACATTTTCGTTTTGCTTTATCAGGGACTTACGGTCGGGGAGGGGCGGCGGGACACCGGGCAGCGCGTTTCCCGTGAGAATAGTCTGCTCAGCTCTTCCACTGCGTCGGCGTCGGCGTCGGCGGGAGGGCCGAGGGAGGGGCCGCGGCCTTGTCAGTTTCCAGGCCCTAACTGGGAGGCACCTGAGCTGTCGCCACGGCGGAAAGCTGTCCTTGCCCACCCACGACAGTCACGGATGGACGTTCCGGCGTCGCCCTCCTCCTCCCCTGGGAGGCAGGCGCCCGTGACTGGAGTCTGGAACGCGATCAGCCGGGCTGGAACTGCTGCAGCCCGTTCAGAGAAAACTGCCCAACATTTTGACTCCATTTTCCATGTCCGACATCCTGGCGTGAACCCTGGGCCTTCCTGACCAGGAGATGGGGCGGCTCTGTCCCTCTGAAAGCCGAGGCAGTCCATCCATGCTCTTTCTTGCGGAAGTCCTCACCCTCGGCCCTCCCTCCAGGCCAGGCTTTGGCAGGAGCCTGGAGTCAGGGAGCCTGGTGAGGACGGGTCAGGTCCCGATTCTCTGCGCTCCCAGGGAGAGCCGGAGGTGGAGGCCAGGCCTGGGAGGAGGCCGCCCTGGGCCCTGGGCGGAGCGAGAATACTTGCACTGTATTGTCACAGTGTGTTTGCACTTTTCAGACGGCCCAGCTAGTACGGACTGTAAACCGCGGGGACAGGTGGCTGTTGACGTCTCCGAGATCAGAAAGGCTCAGCACTGAGACTGTCTCTGGAATACCGCGTTCGCGTTGGGTGGTTCCGTCCACGTGTTTCTCACGTCAGTGTGCACTTCACGGGTCATCAGTTCTTGTACTACTTGAAACAGTGTATCTATGTTTGCTACTTTATTTTCCCAATTTGATACATACCCTAGATTTGATGTTTTGGTATTTTGAGGTGAGCTCTGAGTATAACGCTGTACCATACGCAGGATGTCCGTTCTTGGTGTGACTGGATGTACTTGCATCAATAAAAAACTCATGTCGCTCCTGTCTCTTGTCTGCTCTGCGTGCACGGGTGCCCGAGGCTGCTGGCAGGAGACACAGGCGTGGGGAGGACGAGAACACCCGGGTCCGGAACGGGCTTTCCCAGGAGGGACCGTGTAAGGTCACCAGTGGGAAACGCACTGTGACAGAGGGCTTTTCAAGTGAGCACTGCGGGTCTAGACAGAGCTGTGCACGGAGGGCTGTCCTGACCTGCTTTCCTCAAACGAGCCACCCAGACTGTCACCAGGTGCTGTATGGCACGGGACAGCAGAACCTTCCATGTCCGTGGGCAGGGGGAGGCCGGGGCACCTGTTGATACCCTCCTGCAGGGCGGCTTGCACACCAAGGGTCCAGACAGGTTCCTTGGGTTGCATGAATCACGTCCAGGAGCACCAGTGAGGAGGGCTGATTGAGCGGCACACGAGTGTGGCCCTGAAGGCGCTGGAAGGGGAAGCCAAGCCGTGGCCCCCTGCTGCTTCTCCCAAGCCTGCCTATGCTGCCGCCCACAAGGCCCAGATGGGCTGGGGTCCTCCCATCACAGCTCTTACTGACCTTTCTTGTACCTTTCCACCTAAGTCACTTTAAACAATGTGCTTGGTGTCTCCCGGTGACCTCGAGCGGGCACTGAGCACGGACGCGTGGAGGCGTGCCTGAGGCGTGACTTCCTAACTTCAGCTTAAACGACCAGTGGCCACTGTGTTGGGCAGGTCACATCTTTGGGGCCTTGGCACTGCCAGTGCCTTGTGAAGGGACAGCCCAGATGTGTGATATCCAGGTGGAGCCCATGAGCATGCCACGAAGACACGCGAGCCTGGCCACATGACAATACTTTGGTTTCCTGGTAGGGCCACCACGTGTTTACGTTTCTTCCTGCGGAGCTGAAGCGGGGGTGGCACGTAATCTGATCCACAGAGCTTGGGGTGGCACATGAGGCATGCGGGGCCGGCCCGGGCGGTGCCATCTCTCATCCGTGGGCGCTCCCCAGGGCGCTGGTCCTCAGCTGCAGGTCCCTCAGCAGCCATGCCCCTGGGCACCGGTGGGCACGCAGTCTCAGGCCGCACCCCAGGCCCGCTGAGTCAGAAACAGACGGTGTCCGGGGAACCTCTCCAGTGGCGGGTCCGAGGGTGGCTCTGCCTGCTCGTCGCCCACCTCTCCTAGCGCCTCCGCCCCTCTGGCTCCCTGAGGTCTCACGCCATCAACACGCCACACTCATGCCCGCCTTCAGGATGCCACGGCCCTGTCCTCACACCCCTGTGAGGAGCTCCCGTTGTCTGTAGGAGTCCCGAGATCTTCCACAGGGGACGGCCCCTTGGGCTGCCCTTTTCTCCCAGGTCCAGTTCCAGCTGCAGGTGCTGGGACAAGTTCTCTACCTTGTCCAGCCTCCGTTTTCTCATGCTGAAGTGGGAATCCTCACCTGGCGGGGCCGTCATAGCTGACGACGGGGAGTGACGCCTGGCTCGTCAGCACTGGCAGTATCGGCTGTGGACTGGCGGCAGTGCCAGGCAGATGCCAAGCGGCCTTTCTCTTGCGAAAGCGGCATCTTTCAGGAGAGTGAGCTGCAGGCTTCCGGACACCCTCGCACAAAGGAGCCCAAGTTGCAGCCGATTCGAAGACAGGCTAACATCAGCGAAGTCACGTAAGTGCTGAATTCACCCAGTGTATAACCAGAGCACAATCCCAAATTGGGATTTAAAACCACTTTCTGAAAGCAAAACCTACAACCCACCTGGTCAGTGTAGATCATAACACAATTTCTATCTTTATTCCCAGAAAGGAGGCCGTGAGGAAGGCGAGGGCTGCCAACACCCGCACGAGCGTCCGCCGCCACATAACCAGGACACACGGGTCTTCAGCAACGATGCCACCAACACAAGGTCTTAAATGACCCACCTACCCATTTCTGCGACGTGAAAGGCTAAGTGCTCACCTGTGAAAACTAGTAACGCGGTGTAAAGTCAAACATCGAAGCCAAGGGAAGCCAGACAAAGCAGGGAGACCCTGAAGCCAGCATTTGCCTGACCTCTGAGGCAGGGACCAGGAGCTTCCACTGTCAAGGCCACAGGGGGATGAGAACAGATCCAGGTCCTGCTCAGAATGAGGAACCCAACAGGAGACCCTGGTCATAAAGCTGGCATCACTGGGGACCAGCAGGTGGTGTGGTGGTTAAAGCGCTCCCACATGGCCGACCACGGTTCAAGTCCTGGACCTGGTGGCTTACTAACTCACTTTCTCTCTCTCTCTCTGGCCAGATGAAAATAAATGAATGAATAAAGAACATTAAAATAAAATAATTATTTAAAAAAAAAAAAGCTGTGGCATCACCGAGAGCTGCTCCCAGTGTAACAGGGAGCTTGGCGTGGAATCGCCTACCGGAACTCCGAGGGGTTAAGGAAAGCTGGTTTGACACCGGATGAAGGGCATTTGCAGCACAGATTGCACTGTCCAGCAGACGAAGCCGAGACTTCAGTTTAACATGGCCCTGAACTGTGCCGCGCCCGAGGACCCACTGGGAGAAACATTCCGACCTACATTCCAGTTTGAAAACCCTCTCCTGATGAGTCTGCTCTTCTCTTAAACCCATCTCTTGGACTGAAATAATTTGATTATTATAACTGTCATTTCTAGATGTTCTAACAGGTTCTTTTCCGACCTGTTTGGTCATAATTCTGAAGAAACTGCCAGAATGTAACAGAGGACAAAGAGGTGGAAATAAACAGACTAAGCGATGAGGCGCAGTCACCATTTTAACATGGTATCAGTTACAGGAGAAAAAAGAGCATATTAAAAAGAAAGTAGTTGGGAACCAGCAGTTAGCGTAATGGCTATGTCGCTGGACTCCCACGTAGTCATGGAGGAGAAGGGATTGCGGCGTGACCATCCCCCCTGGGGGGTGATTTCTCGCTTTCTGTCTCTCTGTCTCTCTGTCTGGCGAGTGCACACGCCCTATAGCAAAAAAACCTTTCCAAAAAAAAACCAAGAAAGTAGTTGAGGACTTTTCGGAACCTATGTAAGATAACCGCCTGAGGAGCCCGTAGACTCTCAAGCAGGGTTAGAAAAGATAGAGCCACACACAGGTATATCACAGCGGTACAGAAGAAAGGAGAACGAGGAGCTCTTTAAGACAGCAAGAGAACAAAAAGGCTGGCGACCTTCCAAGCTGACCGCTTGCAGCAGGAA